CCGCAGCTGCGACCGATTATAAAACAGTATCTTTAGCCTTAAGTGATAAATGCAAACAATAAAAATAAACTGGGACCAGGGCCAAGAACAACCTGCATAGTGGTCCCTCCGCTGTGGAATTGGAGAGAGTCTGTTCTGTGTCTTTGTTTACCTCCGGAGGCTCTCTCGCTTCTTCAGAGAGCAGTTTCCTTCTGTATCACAAATATCGGAATAGTGCGAACCTGAACCAAACTCAGGCATATATCCTGCATTATTTTCATAACACAGAAGTGATTCCTCAGACCACTTCTGTGTGTCATCTTTGATCTATTTATATCTGAACTTATATCTGAACTTGAGAAATCCCACCTGTAACTGTCGGGTTGATTCTTCAATCTGAGCCTCCGATCAGAAGGTATCGGTGGGAACGGACAAGTCATCGGCGACTCACCCGTGTCACTGGTGAGCTAGCTGAATTTGAGCTTTTATACCTTCATAACTGAGGTTTCCCAGGAAGAATCTGTAATGACTAGATTCATATTTTCAGATGTACCTCTAACAGCCGTTAGAGCAACATGTTTTCTTTGAAACCCCCAAATTCTGAACGTCATCCTAAACTGAGATAGGTAAATATGATTTTGGACTCCGTAATGAGGTTCCAGAGCAGCATTCTGTGGCGTAGCCCTCTGAAGTTATTGCAGGCGAGAGCATAAAACAAAAAGGGGCGGACCTGGAAAACTGTTGTGCATAAATCCTGGAGTGCATCTGAGGATCTCACGGACCTCCAGAAGCGTGAAGCGCTTTGATTATAAATATCTTCAGGAGGCTTGTGTTGCAAGATAACAGGCCGATGGCACTTGGGGAACAGGCAGACCTAAATATGATCGAAGGCTTGAGAGGTGCCAATGGAAAGCCGGGGAGGGGGGAGGGGGGGGGTGAAGGGAGAAAAATGATGGACAGCTCACACGCCAGCCATTGTGAGAAAATTATAGCCAAGTGGCGACAACTGAGGTGGTGTGGCGCAAGGCCAAAGCCCCTCGAGAACAAAGGCAGAGGATCCCACCCCCCACCCCCTCTTGTGTGCAAGGGGAACCGCCCCCCCCCCCACCCCCACCACCGACCTTCATATTTACCTGTGACGCCCCAGAGTTAATTGCAGCGAATTCCTGCGCCGGGTGCAAAGTGGGGGCTCGTTGTTGCTTTATTTTACATAACAAACACTGGGGATCCCGTCATTCCTCTCCGGTTTCCAGGGAACTGGGACCAAAGATGCAAGAAAGAGAGAAAAAGGGTTTTGAGCCGGCGCGAATCAACGGGAGCTTACGAGACAAAAGTCTCAGATGAATAAACCATTCAGTGTGGTTTGTTCGTTGTAATCCGGGTCGGGGCGGCTGAGGTAAAAAGTGTTTTTAGTTTCCCCCACTGGGAGCTTTCTATGCTGAGAACAAGTGGTTATTAACGTCTTATTACCATAGCCGGTTCCACACATTCCGCCGATTGGGAAACAATGTGTATGCCGTTCGTTGGGGGAGTCGTGGTAGAACCGAGAGCCCCCCCCTCCCTTTCTAACAAACTAGACTTGGTCTTCACAGTAGCCGGGACGCGTCGGGGTCACCTCGGCTCCCGATCTCCGGTAAACGAAACGGTGCCCTTCGACTCGGATTTGGCAGAGCCGGTGGGGGGGGGGGGGCGTGCACATCAAAGTAAGGCCTGACCTTGCATACCAGATGAGGTTTGGATTAACGAGCTCTGGACATCAAACGGTAGGATCACTCCCCCACGAGTCATCGAAACCCCCCCACACCCTCCATCGGTGAAATTTACAGCGCAGCGTAAAAAAGAAAGTTCTGGAAACATCAACATCGACCTCGCTGCGCATCTCAGTTTGAAACGATGTGACGGAAAGGGGGGGGGTTAAAAATCCCTCCAATTATGTGATGTGTGGGAGAGCACAATGAACCGGGCCGCATGCCAAACAGCATCCTTTACCAAACAAATAGAGGACTGCACACTGACAGCATCTATCTGTGGAGACTTAGGAAGCCAAGAGGACGTCCCGGCCGAGGTGGTTAGCTGGTCCCTCAGACGCTTCACCGGGACACGATCCTCCTTTCAAAGAGGACGCTGCTGCTTTGAAGAGCGATAAAAGCACTTGTTTTAAGGGGGATGAGAGCGGCCCTGTCTGAAGCACACGCCGCCTTGTTTGAGTGTGAATATTTATTAATAATGTTAATCTGCAAATAAAACAATTCTCCAAGCGGTGTGATAAAAACACCACGCGCCATCCACATTTAACCATCTATATTTATACAACCTTTTCTTCCAGCCTCGTCTCTCTGCTCGGTGTTCAGCAGCGTTTTAAAGAGATGAACGCAAAATTTTATGCTTTTTATGGTAAAAACCAAAGCTTATTTGTGGCAAGATTTTAAATATAGACATTTAAGGCTATTTTGGACGTTTTAATATGATAGAGGCATGCGACACAACTGTGTAACTGATCAATTATTACCCGAGTACACTAAATATAATCAGCTTATATTACATCTTGGGAGTTGATGAAGTGAAAGAAAAAGGTTGATATCTGTGTGACGGACAGAAACTGCTTTTCCTCTTGGGGAGGTCACACGCATTCATTGAGGGGCCGAGCCGGACATCTGGACAAAGACAAATGGAAATGTTCGATGCTACTGACAGGTCACACAGGTCATCGGCGCTTCATTGGCACACTAATATGGGTCCGAATGAGGCAGCGAGTCCAACATGGTCCACTTTTCAGATGTTATCAATGCAGGAACATCATGTGAATACATTTGAAGCCAGAATGTTCTGATAATGTCTATACGTTCGTCCGCTAATGAAAAAAGGTCAAAGACAGAAAATAAACATAATTCTGGCCTGGATTTGGGACGCTTCATGAATTAAAAACATTTTCCTCTGCGTCAGTTGTTGGGTAACTTTGAACTTAATTACGTTTTTATGAGTTGAACAGTTTATCATTTTAGGTCTGCCTTCTCATAATGAGGAAACGGTGTCATGTCTGGATTAGTTTGATGTAGTTGATGTAATACAGTAACGAAGCAGCACATGGTATCTTCTGATGGAGAACAATCATCTCTCTCCAGTCCGGCTCTCACACACTCGCTCTGCCTGTTACTGTTTGGTTAATGGAGGTCCCCCCCGTAAGGCTCCACCTCTGGCCTATTAACGAGCCAAAGTTATTCAAACAAATTGTATCGTCTGTAATGTGACCCGTGTTTGATATTTTTGGCAAAAACCAACTGGGAGAAGTTTCGCTTTGATCAGGAAAATATCTGAACCCTGCAGGAGAGTTTAATCAGCAACAAGGTTTCTGGCTTTGGAATTTCTCAGTGGAACAAAAATAATAAAGTTGATTAGGTCAGGAAGGTGGGGGGGGGGGGGCATCACCAAAGAGATCATTAAGTTAATGGATCGCCGGGGGGCCGAGGACCTGGACCTGGGGGGGCCGAGGGCCTGGACACGGGGACCCGTAGAGGAACAACGGGGGTTCCTCACACCTGGGGAGAAGCTGAGAAGAACATTCGATGGGAAACAGGAACACGGCGTTTACCTCGGCACAGCAGAAAGCCGCAGGTACACAGAAGCATTATGACGTGGATTTTTAACGGGGCAGCTGCTTAATCCTTTAACGCGCCCCCCCCTCCCACCCCCACCCGGACTGTGACACCGAGCCTGAAATAGGCGGATGTCCGTGGAGTTCTTCTCCACTGTGAAGCCATCACAAGCATCACAAGCTTTGTGCAATGGGACCAACGTATCATGGAAAAGACCCAAAGGATCACGGTGAGACCCAAGGAATCCAACGTACACACAGACACACGGAAACACGCGCAAAACATCAAAGGCCTGGGTTGTGGGCCAACGGCTGCTGGAAATTTCGGCTTCGGCTTGTATCGGGATAAGCGGGGGAATTTCCCTGCGCTGGAGCTAATCCAAGCGAGGGGACTCTACCCGAATAAACCCATGAATAAAAAAGGCCTCTGTGCCCCATCTCGCCCACAAAAAAGAAAAGGGGGGGGGGGGGGGGGGGGGGCAGGGCGAGAGCAGCAGCTACGTTACACTGTGACGATTAGAGCGACTCACTTATTGTTTTACTGCTGGACCCCACAGGACACCTACGACGATTCCCTCTGACGTTTACTTTTCTCTAAACCTTTAAGGACCTTGAGGCAGTTTAGATTGTTTACTTGTGTACTTTTACGTTATGAATTTACATTATCATTTTAATAAAACTTTCCCCATCGACTTTAATCATTAGCCGTTTAGCATCTTAAATTTCACATATATTTCTACTACTTCTTCTTTATCTATATATATATTATTTGTGATATATTGTGTTCATTGTCTAATCTGAACCATATATAAGATATATGGTTATAAGATATATGGTTCATCCTTATAAGCAGTTTTTTGTTCGTATCCCTTCTGGATTCCATCTCAATGGATCTTGTTGATCAAGCAGAAGTTTTCCCTTTGTGACCTTCTACTGAGGCACACGTTGTCTTTTAATGATCCATACGAGCTGTGGATGGACGCGGAGACTCTTCTCCTCAGATCAGCTCCTGCTGGGCTGCTAATGGGGAGGAGGAGGTGGAGCAGATGAGAAGAATAAGCGCTGTTAGCAGCTGCTGATTCCCTCAATCACAGAATCGGTGCTGCTCGCTTTATCCGCGATGGAACGGGGTCTGACGTATGACTGACGCTCTCAGGGAGATAAGATAGTGCTGCTTATCTGGAGGCCAGGAGAGAACTAACGACCGCGTTCTCTCTTTAAATCCAATATCCATCGGAGATATCTACAGTTCATCACCAAATCCGCCTTTGGGCCAGGAAATAAGTCTCTTACCACACACAACATGAAAGTGGGCTAAAAAATAGCAAAGACACCACCGTGTTTTAGTGCTTTAAGCGTAAACTGGAGGACGTTCATTGTGAAGATATCCAACCACGTAGAAATGATCAAGAGAAGAAAGAGAAAAACATTTAAAAGTCATTTCAGTGTTGTTTTATTGTACGAATATAAAGAATAAATAGCACATTTCCTTAATTTACAGGATAAAACAAGTATCAATAATCCACGCTTAACTTTGAGGTCGATCCCCTTCTTCCAAATATGGAAAAAACAGCAAGTCCTTACGTGGCTCTATGCGCCATATCTCATAAATACAAAATATATAACCAATATTCTCCACGAATAAAGTAGGCTCTGGTTACAAATAATACTGACTCTGTACAGGGAGCCAAATAGAACTGCATGGCACCGCAGATACAGAAATACATTCCTACACTCAGTAGTGCACGTGAACAACAAAAAAAAGAATCACAAAAATAATGAGCGTATAATTTATTATTCGGAGTGTCTCTTTCTTTTAACTGGAACAGGAGCATTTGCAGTCTGTGATGATCGGGTACTGCACCGGTATCCACGCGCATTTCAGCCCCCCTTTCCTCGGCACGCACCTCCACCGCAGTATCGTCAGGTGGGTCGAGTTGGCGGGTTTGCACACCATCCCCTCCGGAACCGAACACGACCTCTTGCTGAGGCAGCCGCCGACGCGCACGAACCGCGGCCAGAACCGGTTCCCCAAGTCGGTCCACGTGTACGCGACCGGGCAGAACGAGTACGCCCACAGCCACTGCTGCAGCCGCCTCTTCAGCTTCTTACTGGGCTTGTGCTTCTTGCCGAACTGGACGTCGAAGTCCACCGCCCGGATGTCTTTGGGAAGCACCCCCCCGGGCTTCTGCACCTCAAAGTCATCCAGCTCGTCGTTCCCGGTGTACTTGTCCTCCGCGGGCGGCGCCACGGACAAATAGCGGCTGTCAAAGTCCCCCAGGACGCCCTTCAGCTCCGTCTCGTTAAGGTCCCGCTCCTTGGGGTCGAAGACGGGATCCGGGTCCTCTTTTAATTCCACCAGCGGCAGACTGTCACTCGGGATGGGGCGCAGAAGGTAGTAGTGCTGACCGACCCCTCTTTCCGTGAGGAGTCCGAGGGACAGAGCCAGCAGATACATGGCCACGCACTGCCGGGTCCGATTCATGGCACTGAGGTCGCTGCTAAACAAGGGGACACTTTCTTGCGCGTAATTACGCGTGAGCCGTATCCAAAAACCTGCGTCTTCGAGCGTCCTTGAGGATTTCAGTTGCCCATGATCAAATATCCGTCACACAATTTCAAATACAAAGTTCATCCGTGGCAGCATCGGCGGGAAGCTATTTATTTATGACCAACTGTGTGACAAAGCTCAGATGTGTCCTCGGGCTCCGTGCGCGCGGGCTCGGCATGATGCTCGCGCCCTCTCTCGTCTCCTCTGGGGCGCCGAGCGCCACCTCCGTTATATCCTCCACGCGGGGCGTGACGTCATTGGCGTGCCTCTCGTTGAATGTGGGTTTGTTGTCTAGGAGGAGATCCCCAATTCCTCCTTCTCCCGCCGCACTGAAAGGGGGGGGGTCAACAGAAAGTGGAGTCGCCCCCTGTCGGTTTTCCAGACGTCCTTCAATCCGCCCACAGTGGGAATCATTGTCTCTCCTCTGGGGAATGCTTCTGCTGGAGCTTCAGTAGGAGCTCTGCGAGGAGCCAGACTTCAGGATGAGGATTTACTTCACACACACGTTGGCTTCTCTTCCCGGGATCAAGTCTTTCTCGGGGGAATTGGGAACGTTTCTGGCCATTTAAAGTGCAATTTCACTTAAAGCTTTAGATTAAATCAGCCCGAGTGTCACCATGATGCATTTGACTTTCTGATTGTTAAATATTTTTAAGCGGGAACATTTGCTCAAAGATGGTCATCTTTTATTTTCACTCACATTATTAACAAGCAGCAGAGATTCAAAAGCTTACAAAGAAACCAAATACGTCTGGTGTATTTTTGTAGAAATAGTATGTGCAAAGTGTAGTATTTGTATAGTATTTCCGATGAATGAAACAACGCCTTTAAAAAATGCTGAAGCGTGATTTAGTTTCCTTAAAGTAGAGAAATCTGCTTTGTAATGTTTATTAAAGACGGCCTCATAAAACAAGCTAAATCATATCACCCAATTAGCAGAACTTTGGCGTGTTTCTTTTCCAGCAAATACTCATTTTACAGCTTGAGTATGACATGAAATCACCCATTAAGTGCATATCTCCAACTAACATGCGACCACATTTCGGCCTGTCGCGCGTCCACAGCGGGCTTCTCAATGAAGCCAAATTAGCTCACAAATAAACATCGCTCGCTAAGCAGCAGCGTGGAAAGTATCACAGATTTTTTTTTTTTTAACCTGTCTAAACTCGCTCTTAGAGAATCACTCTTTGAGACGTTAATTTAGTGGAAGAACTTAGCCGGCTGCTGCATCAGCCGTAAACCATATGCTTTGAGATAAATGCATCTCTGTTTTATTTTTCAATGAGCTAATTCACACAAGACTGAGCGACTCACTTGGTTCACCAGTTAAGTGATGGCGAAAAGTCTGGAAAATGTCACCCGTCTATTTTTCATCCGAGCAGCACCTATCATAAAGCATCGCTGCCCCGAGAGCGCCGGACAATCAATCCAGTGCATTCAGGTGTAAGCAACACGCACACGCACGCACACGCACATACACACACACACACACACACACCTCTTCAAGAAAATAAAGATTGAATCATTTTTTCTCTTTTTTAAAAATGAAGCCGTTGAACTCACTCCTGAGGGTTTTTTTTTTCCAAAATAAAAGCTGGAATATTTCATCCCCAACCGTGGCCGCTGCCGCAGTGAAATCCAAACATGGTTCTTGTTAAGCGGCATCAGGATTTGCCAAGCTTATTTAACGGCGAGTTGTTTTGGTTTCTTCTAATCCCTTCCTACTGTTTTAAAACAGGAACATTATGATAGTAAATCTTTCCTCTTTAAAAAGACAGACGCTTGTTTAAATTCAGAATGTCTTTTGTCTTCTTGAGTTTAAAAAAAAACAGTTCTCTACAATGACCGTTTTCTGAGCAGGGTCTGGTTCTTTGAGAAGACATTTAAACACCGCGCTTAAGGACATGCATTATAAAATGAATCTCCCCGCCTGAGCCGTGCTATATGAGGGCTAGGACTCCATGGGTCCTTTCCGTGGGGGCTAGGTCTCCATGAGTCCTTTTTGTGGGGGCTAGGTCTCCATGAGTCCTTTCCATGGGGGTTAGGTCTCCATTAGTCCCATTTGTGGGTGCTAGGACTCCATGAGTCCTTTTTGTGGGGGCTAGGTCTCCATGAGTCCTTTCTGTGGGGGCTAGGACTCCATGAGTCCTTTCTGTGGGGGCTAGGACTCCATGAGTCCTTTCTGTGGGGGCTAGGACTCCACTAGTGGAGGCTAGGACTCCATGAGTCCTTTCTGTGGGGGCTAGGACTCCACTAGTGGAGGCTAGGACTCCATGAGTCCTTTCTGTGGGAGCTAGGACTCCACTAGTGGAGGCTAGGTCTCCATGAGTTCTTTCTGTGGGGGCTAGGTCTTCATGAGTCTTTCTGTGGGGGCCAGGACTCCACTAGTGGAGGCTAGGTCTCCATGAGTCCTTTTCTGTGGGGGCCAGGACTCCACTAGTGGAGGCTAGGACTCCATGAGTCCTTTGTGCCGTGTCTGTTACCCTTCCTGAGATGTTGAGGATCCAAGCAGCCTCCATGCAGACGCCTGAGGGCTCGGGGACGGTGTCGTTCTGGGGGGAACACGCAGCTGCTCTCAGGCGCTCTACGTCCCCCCGTGCGCGGGGTCACACCTCCAGCTAATTGAGGCCGCATCGGCAAGCTGAACACACACAGACATGAAGCGGGTGCTGCTCTGTTGACTCTGGCACTCGGGGAGGTGTGCAATTTGCTAGTTTGTCTAGCGCTATTTTCCCCTATTCCTCCGCGATCCAAGAGCACACAGTCACAACAGCCCCCCCCGCTGTGAGCTTAATTACGGTGCATGCTGCGTCTCACCGGCGGCCATGAGACGGCACATTTGCATTCCTGCAAGTCACTTTGTTGCCTGCTTGCTCTCAGTGAGGGGGGAATTAAAGCTGTGGATTGTCATTATAGACTGACAGAATTTCACTCTAGTAAAATACAAATAAACCGACAGCTTACTATCTAATGAAGAAATGAAGAAAATTAAGCAAAGTTGCCGCACTTTACCAAAACAATTCACACTGATCAGGATTCTACAACTAGAGCTTTTGTGAAATTGACCAACAGGAGTGAATCTATGAGGTCTGTACTGCCTTTTCTGAATACATTGTGAAAAAATTAAACAACAACAAACTTATTTCCCCAAAATACTGCGTCATATTCTTAGTGTGTGTAAAAGCATTCATGGTGATGAATGAATCAGCCTTGAAGGTTTGATTTATTTATGCATAAGAAGGCAGATAAATCTCAATAGCAGGATGACTATTGGACCTCTGTGCATTGTCCTCATTAAAGTCTGACTTATATAACCCCACAGATGCCTTCAGTCGGGTCTTCTATCACCATCAGTCTGTAGAGTGAATATCTGTGGCTTTTAAAGGGAGCTATAATTAGCACATTTAGCTTGTTTTTTCCCGCTGATCCACAAGGCTCCCAGAAGCCCGGTGTGTGTGTGTGTGTGTGTGTGTGTGTGTGTGTGTGTGTGTGTGTGTGTGTGTGTGTGTGTGTGTGTGTGTGCGCCCGCTCCTTCCACTTCCCCATAAAAGTTTTCAGACAGAATTTCTGCATCCAAACAAAGTCGTTAAAACCAAAAAGTCAGAACAAAGTAGTCAGTGATTATTTGAGGGCTGTCTTTGTATTCACGCGTACAGGCAGACACAGTTGTTTCATCCAAATTGATCTAAAATCAGTTGGACAAACTATAGACTTTCTGCAGATAACAACTGATGAAACACAATGTGAACAATCCATTTTGTTGATTGATTTTTACGGGAGCACAACCTTCAAGTTCTTTAAGCAGCATTTTCTCTACCAACCACCAGGGGGCGACGACTCTGGTGCCATAGGAGTCTATGAGAAAATGACTACTCTCTTGATTTATTCCCTCTGTAAAAATATTAGTAGTTTCTTCAAGTCTTCTTCAAACCGAACATAAAGCAGCGGATGCTTTAGGGTGGGGCTTACTGTGATTGACATGTCTTCCTCTGTCCAGATATGGTCATTTTGATTCATCGGTTAAAAAAAATTCGAGATTGCGACTGCCGTCATGACGAGTAGCAACCTTCTCTCTTGCCGAATGATCCACATCCCATGTTGCCCTGGAGACGAGGGTCCAGGCTGAACGGGTAGAGGGTGACTTTGGTCGCCGGTGTCTCAGTGACTGACGGCTTAGTATTCAGGAAGAAACGTTGCAGACGACCAGCCGCTGAACCTGCTGTAACGTTATCTGCAGCTCCTCACCGGCGGTGAATGTCCCCTAAAGAGCTTGTTTTTATTGTTTTCATAAGCTACTGAACGGAAAGCTGATGCGGCCAGTTTGTCTTAGTATGGAGAGTAGAGGTGCGACGGGTCCAAAAACAGATTAACAAATTAAGCAAATATAACTTTTACATATAGATCCCTGCTGATCATCAATAAGCCATGTTGGCAGATGGACTTGTGTCCATGACTGTAATAAATGTGTAAAGTGTCATTTGAAACTGATCTTTAGATTGAAGTCGCACTGTTTTGCCGTAGACGTGGAGCCACGAGAGGCCACCTTCAGGTATGAGCAGCATCGGTGCCTCATGAGCTTGTACTAATACTCACAAGTACATAACCGCCGTGTACTTGAACATGCCGGCCCATTTTTATTACTCTTCTGGAATCAAAGTAAACACTTTGTGATGGATGATTCAGCCCCCCATCAACCGGCCGCAGGGTATAAATAAAGCATGACGAGCAGCACGGACACAGGGCATTGGCGTCTGGCTGCGGGGGGGCCGAGGCGTTGATCCCCACATGGCGATCTGTGCAAGGTCTCTCCTCAGATCATCAGAAACCAAAAGCGGCAGCTCAAATGAATGAGCGAACAGGCCGGGGGTCAGAGCGTGGTGCTGGTGGTGCTGGTGGTGCTGGTGGCGGTAGTGAGGTGGGGGAGCAGGGGGTGGGGGGAGGGGGGGGGAGGTCTCGGTGTCTCCAGCCCCTGAAACACAGACGGCTGTTTGTGCCACGCAACCCCCACCGACCCCACCTTGGTCTCAAAACTCAGCTCCTAATTCACACTCCATAAATCAAGATGACCTGTCCTCGTGTGAATCCGTGTGTGTGTGTGTGTGTGTGTGTGTGTGTGTGTGTGTGCGTGTGTGTGTGTGTGCGCGTGCTGGATAATAGTGGCGCTATTGTTCCAGCACGAGGATTCATTTTCAGAGACATAAACCATCCCCGATAGCCCC